CAGTGGTGACTTCACACTAAACTTACTTCAAACTCTTTAGATCTAGGGGGACCGTGGGAGATGGGCCTAATATTGTGCTATGGAGCTCAACTAACTTTGTTTCAAGCTCAGTTGATGAAGGACTGTTTGAAAAGAGATCAATATGGAGAATTCCTTTCTAGTTGCCTCCTATTTCAGTTCTCTCTGTGATCTTTTCATCTGTGGATGGTTTTCCCACTAGCAGAAGCAGTCCAGGTAGGTAACCTTTTAAGGCTGTGTGTTATGTTCTCCATGTTGATTCTATATTCTTCCCACAGGCCTTATGGTGGAAAGCCTGAACAAATTCAATAACTAGTTTTGCAAAAATTTTACTCATTCTGTGATCACACAGGTGGAATCTTAACTGAATTCCATCAGACTGTGACCATGGGCCTAAAAAAAAGTATAGAAACTGGACTGTGAGAACAGCTGCTAGGCTTTTTCATTAGTACTTCTTGGTCTTGGGCTTTTGGGAGTCCAGTAACTGGGACTTCTGTAGTCTTTGTAGCTCTCTTGCACTGCCATTCCCTGAATCTCACCAGAAGATGGTTGGCTGGTATTTTTAAGGTGGTGTGTAGTCTTCGTGTAGAAAAATCAATTTAGTAATTAAAATTACTTAACTGAAATTTCAGCATGAATTTCATGTGGAATTTAGTATATTAAATTCCTGGAGGAACTATTTTTTTTAAGATACTAAATTTCTGTGAAATCTACACTATTTTACAAGGAGTTTAAAATCTGTTCATGTAGGTTGCACTGGAGAGCAGTGCTGTTGCAGGAACTAAGAGGGGACTGCAACAGTCTGTTGAGCTGCATGGTAATTTGGGAAAGAATGTAAAATAATCTATTTTAATTGAAAAGTTTTTTTTATAAAATTAAGCAAATTTTTCTAGCATAAATACATGGTAAAAACAGGCTTCTGTGAAATGTTTGCATGATTATGTGAATCAATATTTTCTAATTTCTTAAGCCTCTGAAATGATACAAAATAATAAAATACTTGAATTTTGGTTTCTTGTCCTTGAAACAGGTGCTTCTCAATGCAATTAAACCTTACGCAAGTAATATTATTTTCATCATTGTTATATATAAAAAGTTGTAAAGATAATTGCATCATGCTTCTCTTGAAGTTAACAGCTGCAGAGCACAATTCTCTAAGTATTTTTTAAACCTCTATTTCTAAAATCTAAGATTTCCCTGAGACAGCTGGGTTGTTAGCATGTGAACACATACATAATTGGGTTATGTGGCCTCAAAACAGTAGTAAGATGTTAAGGGTTCTTCCATTGACCTCTCTTTACAACGTTTTCATGCTCTGTTTAAAAAAAAAAAAAAAAAAAGAAAAGGTCACTGCTTCAAATAGACTTGATGTAACATGCTTATATTACTTTCATTGGCAAATGGGACACCCTGTGTAAAATCAGTCTAGAATATGCATGAAGGAAAAATTATTTGCAGGGCTGAAGCAGAAATTAAGAAAACTATAGCAAAATAGTTTTTCCATTGTTACATTTGACTGTTTCAAATATTTCATTAGTATGCTAATAACTCACCTGCTAAAGCACCTAATTTGAGTTGGGGCACACAGGTGGCCAATGTTTAAAGATAGCTCTGCATTGTGTATAGGTGCATACCCTTACTCATGTGTGCTGGTTTGGGCTGGGGTAGAGCTGATTTTCTTTATAGTGGCTAGTATGGGGCTGTGTTTTGGATTTGTGCTGGAAACAGTATTGATAACGCAGGGATGTTTTTATTATTGCTGAGCAGTGCTTACACAGAGTCAGGGCCTTTTCTGCTTCTCACACCGCCCCGCCATTGAGTAGCCTGGTGGTGCACAAAATATTGGGAGGGGACACAGTTGAGACAGCTGATCCCAACTGACCAAAGGGATATTCCATACCATATGACATCATGCTCAGCAATAAAACTGGGGGGGAGGTTGACGGGGCAGGGCGCAGCTTGGGGTCTAGCTAGGCATCGGTCGGTTGGTGGTGAGCAATTTTTTTCATTTGCAGCACTTGTCTTTCTTGGGTTTTATTTTCCTCTCTTTAATTTTTTTCTCTCTTTTCCTTACATTTAAAAATTATTATTATTTCTTTTTAATTATTAAACTGTTTTTATCTCAACCCACAAGTTACTTTTTCACTTTTATCCTTCCAATTCTTTCTCCATCCCACCGGGGTGGGGGAGTGAGTGAGCAGCTGTGTGGTGCTTAGTTGCTGGCTGGGGTTAAACCATGCCCCTGATGTTATAGGAGCCATTGTATTAGACTTGAGTAGTTTAAATTTCTTTTCTCCTATTTTGTCCAGGTGCTGTAGTGTGGTAATCTTTTTGTTTCATCAAATGTCTGAACACATAAATGCAGCACAGAGATGAATTAACATACCAAGCATAATTCAGCTGCTCTGGCTATTTATTGTTTCCTTCATTTGCTCCTTTGAGGCATTTGACTGACATCTGCTGTTTTAACAAAATGACCGTTGGCTAAATCAACAAACTATTACAAAGGACCTTTAGACATACAAGTAAGAACCAGTGACTCGTTTTCACTAATGTACTGTTCATTGTGTTTGCAAAGGCATCTGAATATCCCTTTGCATTATCGTTGAAATGATGCTGGTAATATTAGCGATGTAAGAATTGCAATTTAATTACACATTTTTATTACTGACAGTAGCTAGCATGACATATTCTGGATGAAATTTTAAGAATGTCCAGAATGACCAATTAAGTTTTAAAATAGGATTATTGTTGTAACTACAGTGATGGGAAAGAACAGATACAGTTAGGCACAGCAAGGTGAACTTTCTGTAAGTTATTAAAATGATCTGTTGTTGACAGAGGCTGTTAATAGTGTTATTCCCATCTGCCACATCAACTACTTTTTTTTTCTGCTGCTTGTGGACAAAGCACTTGAAAAATTGCTGCAGACAGGGAATAGAGAAATGCTGAGATATGATCTACTACATTTTTTTGCAAAATTTCTGAAAATTACTGTCCTTCTGTGGTGGAAATTAAACTCTTTCAATTCTAGTTCATGAGAATAGGGTCAGGAGGGACCCGCTGTTGACAGTGACAATCAGCAGAACATCTTTTTCATAGAATGGATTATATGAGAAGCCAAGACAAACGCGGAGAGCTTGATGGGACTGACAGTGCTGATGGGGCACATCTGTTGCAGACACTGCTACATACACATTTCAGAGGTTATGGGGAAACTTAATATAGCATGCTGTATTCACATTGACAGTTACAGTGATTTTTTTTTTCATTACTGTTTCATCTTTTGGGTTTATTGAGCATTTGTGAAAACGTTCGTTGCAAATGGAAAAAGAGAAGCTTTAAATTTATATGTTAGCACCTGTATCTTCTAATAGTTCAGCTTCCTTTTATTCCAAAAGGCATATATATTTTTTTAAATCTAAGGAATGTGTTGGCAAGTTCAAACTAGCTTGTTTTCAACCAGCACACAGCATTTCAGTCAGCAGAAAAGTGTTTAGAACTTGTGTAATAAATGAATTTGACTCAATATTAGCAAGTATTAAGAGAACTTTTCAACCCCACTGAATTTCCTTCTTTGAGCTAGCAAATTGAAAAATACTATTGTTATATAGTGGAGATGTGGTCTTAAGTGGTGTCAGCAGTCCTTTGTATCTGATTAATAGATAGCAAATTTACAACTGTTCAGACACTTCAATACTGATTGTTTTAAAGCATTGACGTAATGGCACTTTCCAAAATCTGTAGACCCTCCCATCCTATTAATCCCTCTATCTATCAGTGAGGAGAGGCTCATATCAAAGGAAGAGGGGTTTTTCCACTGTTTTACAGCTTGTGCTTGAAAACCTGTTGTTGCTGCTCAATAGACAGACTAATTTTGCATATGAATCATCTCTTGGGGAGTTAAGAGTCTGGACTGGAGTCCAGTGCTGGAGGGCTTTAGTTTTGCAGCAGTTTTTGTGGGTCTCTCCTTCTCCTTGGCCTGACATTTGCTGCCAAGGTGGGTGTGAGGGGGACAGATGGAAGGGGAGCTGATGGCATCATGCAGGACCGTGTAGCATAACATGGGAAACCCACACAAACCAGCAGGCGTGTGTGTGTCTGCTTGAGTCCAGCTGAGTGTTTGCGCGTGGCCCGTTTGCCAAGGGCTTCCATGAGTCACAGCTGGGCTGCCTGATACCTGCGGGTCCTGCAGAAGGGCCAAGTTTTTCTCATGGTCAGATCAGCTGAGTGGCAAACTGGCACAGCTGTAGTAGATGTAGTGAGGGGGAACCTAAACGTTTCTTATCTTTTCTTCCCCTTTCTGGGAATTGGTCTCTGCTTGGCCTCAGTTCCAGAGCTAAGAACGTGTTGTGCCCCAGACACTTCTGTGCAAACTCCGTCAGTTTTACTTAAACTCGTTTTCTGTGGTATTTCACCAAACTGTTGGAGTTTGCACAGAAACTGCTGAACCTGAGGGCAGCCCTGCTTCGGCACAGCGAGCTGGCTGCCGGAGGAGCTTCGGCAGGAAGGTCTGTCGGCAGCACACGGCCCTGCTCCTCGTGCTCCTCCGCGGAAGGTTCCAGCTCGGCCTCCGGCAGTGCAGGGCTTTTTAAGCCACAGGGGCTGTCTGAGCCCCCGGCCCCAAGGTACCCTGTGTCGTTGGATTTATTGGAACAAGATTCTGGTCCCTAAGCCGCCTGGGGGCCCAGGCCACAGGCTGGCTCCCTGCTCGCCCGCTGCCCTCGCCCGTCCCTTGGGCGGCGGATCCCTGCCCGCGAGCAGGCCGCAGCCTGGGCCTTCAGCGGTACGCGGGGTCAGCTCCGGGAGCGGCCGGGCGCGATAAACAAACCGCCCCGCTTGACGTGCAGGGCCTAGCTCGCAGGCGCCCGCCGCTTGCCGCCTGTTGTCCCTTCGCGCGACCCGTAGCGAGCGCTCGGCGGGCCCCGCCCACCGCTGTCGCTATATAAGGGGGAATCGTCGCACCGTCCCTAGACTTACCACGGGCGCTGCGACGGGAGGGCGGCAAGATGGCGTCCACGAGCCGGTACGGGAGGCCGGCCCGGGCGCTCGGAAGGGCCGCGAGGGAGGAGGCGGGAGGGGCTCCTCCACGTCTCCCTGTCCGCAGCACAGGAGGGAAAATGGCCGCGTTGCGCCTGCTGCCACCCGGGGAGGAACGGGTGGCCGTCGCCGCCCTTGCCTGGCCCCGGTGTTCCCCGGCTCGGCGCGGCTCTCGCTGTTGGCGGCGCAGCCGGCCCGTCTCCGGTTTCCCGTCTCCCAGGGCGGTCCTCCGTGGGGCTCTCAGGGTGGCAGGAGGCCAGAGCGGGCCGCGGGGGGGCTGGGCCTCCTAGGGCTTCTCCGTGTGGGCCGGGTCGGGCGGCCCTCGGGCGAGCGGCCTCGGAGGGGCCGCCCGCGCCCGGGAGGGCCGGGGCGGGGGGGGGGGCGAGCGAGGGCGCCTTAGCTCGCCGCCTTGCTTCTTCGTGTCGTTATTAATCGGTAGCGCTCCGAGAGGAAGTGAGCGTCTAGGGGGTTGTGTGGCGATCTGTGCGTTGATGCCGGGGCCCCTCGTTCGTGGGAGCCCGGTGTTATCGGCGCTTGTGATCGAGCCCTCCTCCTGTAGCTCGGCAGTGCCTTATCTTCGTGCCGCTGAGCGCGGCTCTCGCGGAGGGAGGGTTGCTCTCGGTCCGGGGTGTTGCGTGCTGTGAGGCCCTCGGGCGGACGTGGAGCGCCTTCCCGCGGGTGGGCACCGCCTGGGTGCGGAGCCCCCGGTGCCGCCCGGCCGCCCCTCACGCTCACAGCCGCCTCTGAGCCGAGGTGGCGGCTCCCTGGCTTGGCTCCAGGTTATCGGGTCCTGGAAGCAGCTTTTAGGCTCCCACCCTAAATCCGTACGGGCACTAGTCGGTGGCCAGACGGGTCTCGGGCTCCGAATTAGTGTTTTGTTTTCTTTCCCGGAGAAGTATCGAGGTTTTCTTTCAAGTCAGGAATGAAGGCAGGCCCGTGGAGCGGACTGTGGAGCGACTCTATTACTCCTGCTAAACCTGTCCTAGGATCTAGGGAGTGCTTCCTACCTACTAGTCTTACTGAAACTCGGGAGCTCTTTGCTGAGATGGACCTTCACACACGTGCTGTGTGTTTTCCTTCAATATAGTTGGCTTATTATATTGAACCTGTATGTTACAAAGAAGTAGTACAGCATATAGGTCTAGATAAATGAGGTAACCTGGGATAGGAAGACTAATTTTTACAGCGTTTTGTGAAGGTAAAGTCTGAAACAAAACACTGTTGTTGTTCTTTCAGGCTTCTGGATTTTATATCTTTTTTCTTTTGGTTAGTGTGTCGCTTGCCTTTTGCATAATGCCAAATGTCAGATGATTGCACATGCTTTGTCAACAGTTTTGTCTTGTCATATGAAACTACTGGCTAAGAGTAGCAAGAAGGAAAGTTTAAAGAGCTTTTATGTAGCGTTGTGAATATAATTTACATCTGAAAATCTTGTGTGTACATGTTCTTTCTGGAGGCTTTAATATTAATAATGATGTTGATTTTTTGATTTTCATTTCAAATCTTATACTTTTCTGAACAGTCACTGGATTAAAATGTTTGGGTTTTTTTGTACTTTTGGCTCATCAGAAGTACCTAAAAAATAAGATGGAATGCAGATTAGACTGAAATAATGGACTACTGGGTAAGGGGGGAACTCAGGTAAATTTAACTTCTGATAGGATATTTTCTACAATTGAAAGGATTAGAAGTTATTTTTTGGCACAGATTGGGGTTGGTGGGTACCCATGACAAGTTTTTTGTGATCAACTTCCATACCTTCTGCTTTTTAGCTCAAGCAAAATGACTTTGTTGAATATATAGACCCCAGTTGTAAATATTTATTATTACAATTTTGAAACGGTCAGTTTTAACAGAATTACTGAACAGTCACTAGTAGCTTGAATGAGGTATTTAATTTTAAAACGTTTGGTTAGAACCAATTGGTTATTACCTTAGTCAGTGACTTAAAGCTGTTGTGTTAAATAGTGCTAATGCTTTTCAGGAAGTTGTTTCTGCTGTAACTCTTGAAGATGCAGGGGTGTGAAAGAGACAGATCCCTGTTATTGGACGCAGTTGTCACATAACCCCCTTCATGAGCTGATAGTTTTTTGTTAAGATCTCACAATTAACGAGTTGCTTAATTTAAAATAGGACTTTTTCTTCAGATACTTGGAAATAATAAACCACTAGTAGAACCAGTTGTTTTCTAAAAATACATGTTGTGTGTGCACTGCTTCCTGAATTAAGGACCTGGTAAGTAATACTGATCTGATTAGCATGAGTGCGAACGCTCATTTGGAATGAGGCAATCACCACTAACTTCTTGGGGAGCTTTGTTTAGTGATAGACTGCGAGTGAGACTACGCTTAATTAAGTCTGTTATTTAGATTTTTGATGTTTTAATTTGAAGTGGTTTTGGTACAAGATATACCACAAAAAATTTGGAATTTAAGATGACCTGAAGTCTTGATTGTCAAATGTAGTGTTAGAGCATTTAAAAAAAAGGTGAAGTTCAGGTGTTTAGGTTAATATTCTATCGTTCAAATCACTGTAAATTCTGTATTATTAAAGTGTTCTTTTCAGCAAGGAGCTCTTACACTTTTGGATATGCAACTTGCCTGATTAAAAGTGATTAATACTTTAATTTTTTTTTCTTTTTTCCTTAGTTTGGATGTACTTCCAAGAGTGACTTGCCCAAATCATCCAGATTCCATTTTAGTAGAGGATTACAGAGCTGGTGATATGATTTGTTCTGAGTGTGGTCTAGTAGTAGGTAAGTAGCTATTCATATTTTTATGACTACCATATAACTTAAATCGTGCATGTAGATTTGTTTTCCCACAAAACTGGTATATGATAACTCGAGTGTTAAAAGGCTTTTTCTTGATGCCTAAATGTTTTCTTGTATGATATTCTCGTGGCTAAAAGCTTACTGTTTTGAATAGTCTGTTTTCTGGTAACTTCTTGCATTATGAAAAAAATCAAACTCTTTAAAGATTGAAAATTTAAAATATGTTATAATATTGAATTAGAATATTGTGCTGTCTTGTCCAGTATTCTGTCTTTAATCATGACTCCTGTTTCAGTCAGGAAAGTATAAGAAATGTAATAAAATCTCTTTGTCAGATAATTTGCTTACAAAAAAAAATATTTCTCAGTTTTCCATTAGTTAGAGGTTATCTTCTGCCCTGAAGGATTTCTCTTTATATCCTTGCCAGCACCTGTTTTTGTTAATTACTTCTCCTAAGGCTTTTAATACTATCCAAAGTAAATATGCAGTTTTTCCTCTGGAATTTTGCTGAGCTCTTTCACTTGGTTCATGTGACAGCAATCTCCACAGGCTAAATTGTATTTCTAAGTATATTGGAATATTTAAAATGAAAGGCCTTTTAGGCATTGTCTTTGGAATGAGAAAGAGGGAGAGAATGATGTCATAGAACATGCTGCATATTCATTTTTATGTATCTTTTCTAGGATGAGCATCTTATTGTGCATCTTACTGTCTTTATTCCTTTTGCATGGAAAACTTTTCATGCTCATGTTATGATCATTCTTTAAACCTCATTTATTTCTGTTAAATTTTTTTAGACATGCCATGACCAAAAGAAAATCCTCTGTTTTGAGGGTGCATGTTCAGGTGATTCGTTCAGTGGTGCTAAATATTTAAAATATTTCTCTCCTAGACTGTGGTGATTTTGTTTTGGCTCGTCTTGCACAGAAATAAAAATTTTCATACAGCTGTTAGCATAAAACTGGAGATTTAATAAGTTGCAGTGAAAGTAGTACTAGTTTAGCCAGGTGACTAAAATGTGTGTCTTTTGTTTATGCAAAAAGCAAACTTCTGCATAACTTATTAAAGTAAATGTTAAAATATTTAAAGATGAGTACCAGTTTCCTCTAAAATTATGAAACCATTTAAAAGGCTAGGGGGAGGATCATTACTTTCTTTGTTAAAAGAAGGGCTGGTTTAAGTTGTGTAAATTCTGATAAAGATAAGTGAATCATAAATTTGCTGGTTTAAAAATTCAAATGTCCACAGCAATGTTTCCTATTGAAATATGGTAATAGGCTTCCAAGTTATTGCTTAAAAATAGTTTGGTCCGTGTTCAGCTATTTGTGTGGCTGCCGTAGAAGTTGAACCAAAGTTTAGAAAAGCCCATCTTGAGCAGTTCATAACTTTTGAGATAATTCTGGCTTTATAAGAGGAAAATGTTTTGCTTGATATGTTTCATTTTTAGGAACTTGAGAGTTTATCAGAAATCTCACTTCAGGTACCTTCTGTTAGCTAGTCACAAGGAATTCTTGCTTTAGAGATTTACTCTCTGTTCTCTTCTGAATCAATAGCATTGGAGATTTTTTTTAGTTCAAGTTGTCAGCATTTTTGATGAGCAGAATCATAAGAATATTAATACAAACTTTTGCTGAATTGAATTTTTAAAATGTGTTTAAAATGGTCTTAGTCCTCTTTACAGCCGACACAACTGGTAGGGTAAAAACTGTTTTTTCTTTAAGCATGCAGTATTTTTTAAGTAGGCCTTTCTATGGATTTATCACTAGAAGGATTTAACACTTTTGTTGTGCTAGTTGTTCTTGTTCTGTCTTGCCTTCCTTCAGCAATTTAGTTCACCTGCATACGTCCAGTTTGCTAGCTAGGGTATCTAGCAGCTAGCTTGGAAAACCAGTTAAATCGGATGAAGATAAATAATTGAAGAGTGCATGACCAAATAGAAGTGTGAACATTCAATATTTTCTCTTCTGGTCTGGTAAATTCAGAGGAGGAGAAAACCAGATCCAATTCTTGATGCCTGTTTTCTGGAGATGTGTGTGAAGTAGGTATGTTTTAAAGGGGTGAAGACAAAATTTTGTTTCCAAAAAAGAAAACTTTTATGTATTTGTTGCAGATTCCGTGATACATGTTCCCTTTAAAAGGAAGTGATTTCATTTCCTCTTCTTACATAGAAAAGTCGTGGATTTGTGTTTCAACATAAGTCATGATGTATAGCTGATGTGAACAGGGCCCACTGAGAATATGTTTAGAGGTGGGCTGAAAGTTGGTGAGATCTTTATCACTGAAGGGGATCAGTTAGAACAGTTAAAAAACCCCAAAGACTCAATATACTCTGTAGCCAAAGAAATAGTACAGGTTTGTTTAAAAATATTATGATTTTGGTGTCTGCAGAGCACTGCCTGTTGTATGTGCTGAATTTGTGCATTTATTTTACTGTTGTAAAGTACACAGTGATGTGACTTCACTTTTTTTATATGTATTTTTTTTTAGTACAATTTGGCTGAAATCAGAGCAAAGAGTCTTTGACTAAACTAAGTGTATTTTCCACTTGATGTTTTTCTTGCTGTGGCAAAGGACTAAAGTTTCATGTTTGTGGAAAAAGTGTGAGTTTATTAAATGTAAAACTGTGTCATAGGATAGAATAGCTGGTGCATAGATAATTTTCAGGTTTTGTAATCAATATTCTGGGAATCTGAGATGAAAGCCGTATTATTAGTATGCTGGTTTTGGCTGGGGTAGAGTTAATTTTCTTCATAGTAGCTGGTATGGGGCTGTGTTTTGGATTTGTGCTGAAAACAGTGTTGATAACCCAGGAATGTTTTTGTTATCGCTGGGCAGTGGTTACACAGAGTCAAGGCCTCTTCTGCTTCTCACCCCACCCCACCAGCGAGGAGGCTGGGGCTGCACAAGAAGTTGGGGGGGGACACAGCTGGGACAGCCAACCCCAACTGACCAAAGGGATATTCCAAGCCGTATGATGACATGCTCACATGCTCACAGCTGGGGGAAGAAGGAAAGGGGTGTGTGTGTGTTTGTCTTCCCAAGTAACTGTTAGGCCCTGCATTGCTGGAGATGGCTGGACACCTGCCTGCTGATGGGAAGTGGTGAATGAATTCCTTGTTTTGCTTTGCTTGCATGCGTGGCTTTTGCTTTCCTTAATAAACTGTCTTTATCTCAGCCCATGAGTTTTCTCACTTTTACCCTTCCGATTCTCTCCCCCATCCCACCGGGGGGAGTGGGCAAGTGGCTGTGTGGGGCTTAGTTGCTGGCTGGGGTTAAACCGTGACAATTAGTATTATGGCTGAGGTTGCATTTATCAGGTCTGCAGCCGAAATGGTGAAACAGTTGAAAAGTTGGGGGGAGCAGGAGGCTAGGAGAAGAAGGAGCTGATCTCTTCAACAGTTGAATTCCATGTCTTGGGCAGAGCTGTATGTTGGAACTACTGCTTTTTAAAGGGATTTTTGAGAAAGCTTTTTAATCAATGTTGTTTTGTACTCATAGGTGGTGTTCTTTGTGTCTCAGTAAGATTGAAATTTTAAGTTAAAACCAGTATGCTGCTTTTTCTTTGCACAGCATTTTTCACTTGTTCTAAATAAACTGTGCTGTTTTGCTGTGCAGTATTAAAACAATTAAATCTTGTAGTGTCAGTATAACTGAAGCTGGTGTCTGTTTTATTATTGCTTCAAAGTACTGCTTCAGTCTACTAAAAACTCTCATCTGTCTTTTCACTGTTACCTTTCCTGGGTTAACTTGTGTTCTGTCTTTTCATGGTAACTGTTTCCAACTTGTTAACTTTTCCTCCTGCTCCTTTTGCATGAAAGGCAGTTGAAGGCCTAAATTGCAATTATCCATCAAATTTTGATCTTAATGTGGATTGACATGCATCTGAAACTTTACAAGTCGATGTCCAAGTTTATCTGCTGTCATAAATCTTGTGTTTATTGTACATACTTTTCTAGGATTTATGGTACGGTAAGTGTTCATGTGCTGGCTTGAGAATTCACGAACAGAGTTCCTAGGGCTTGGAGAAGTAGTTAGTTCTGTGTTCATTTAAAATGTTGACCGTATCTCATTCTTCAGACAGACTTGGTGGAGGGAGAAGCATTTTGTTCAAGAACACAAGGCTAGTAAATCCTCCTTCTTGACAGGTAAATATTTTGCTTGCTACCTTTCAGGCGGTAAAAAAGGCTGGAAGTCAGCTGATATGAAGGGGCTGAAGAAAGCAGAATTGAAGTGGAATACAAAGCACTGAATTTTCTTGATGTAGCAAAGTGGTGAGCTGAATTTCAGGGGGGAATAAGAATGAATCTAGTAGCATGTACAACTGTGTAGCATCTCAGCTAGGTAGGAATACCTTTCTGATCTAAGATTCCTCTTAAACTTCTGTACAGTTTCATTAAATGTCTTAAGCGTGCAGGAGTCGGAGCAGTGAGGAGTTTATTTTCAGCATTTAGTACCTGATCTTGTAACTGGTTAGCTCTGCTTCAGTAGGCAGGTATGGCTTAGAGAAGAACAGTGTTCTTGTATGGAGTCTTTTTTGGATAGTCGTCTTAAATGAAAAAGCAGAAGTCTGTCTTCAGCTGATGAGAATCCTTGGACATGTATCAACTTGTTAAAGCTTTGAATCAGATTATGACCTATATTCAGATGTTTGTTCTATGTTCTGTGTATAGCTCAGTGTTCAGTTAAAGAATTTTGGGGAAGAATATTCAATAGCTTGTGGTGAGCAGTAAGGCTGTTATAAAATTCTGTCAGAATATTTGTTTGGCTAGTGCTTCTGAAAAGTTTGAGATCTAAATTGCACATCTTAAATTCAGGTATAGTCTGTGAAGAATAGATAAGATTTAATTAATACTGCAGATATTTTTGTTCTCTACAATATAACAAACGAGTAGGAAGGGGTTTCGTGATTGCCTCTCTGCTGGCCAGTCCATTACTCAGGATGTCTGTCATTAGGGATAAGATTGATTGTGTCTATACATAGA